CAAGTTGATCCTCTTGGATTCCCCAGGCTGCAGCAGCACGAGGTGACTTGGGACGAGCAGCTCCATGACATGCTTGTTGTTGCGATTGTCAAAGCCGCGGCGCCCCATGGCCTCGACCCTCAAACAAGAAGATGCTCAGGCACTGGAAATCCCTCATGGGTCTTGTCTGCTCATGTGTTTCGCAGCTCTGCAACTTCTGTTCACAACTCCTGCTCTCCACTTGGGCCTGCCGTAGACGTCACACAGCCCGTGTCAACAACGACAAGATTTCACGCCAGCTGTTACACGTGCCAGCATCGATTTCGGAATGATCGTTTCTGCTATAACACGTGCCGCTCGGGAAATGTTACACGTGGGAGCAAGTGAAATGAATCACGCTAACGTGGCAATCCGTGCAACGTGGCGTGCTAACGTGTAGCACGTCGTGAAATGCCTACCTAGACCTAAATAGGGAGTACTTGGGCCTTAAAGTACCTCCTATATAGGGACTTTGGGGCCTAAGTATTCCCTATTTAGGTACATGACTTCATGTCAGTGCGTAAGCAAAGGCTGGGATGCCGCACCTCAGGATTGTTTCGTGGGCATCTAAAGAGTTTTTGGGCTCAGGGTTCAGGGTTCAGGGTTTAGGGTTTAGGGCTTGGAAACCGAATGAAGCCCAAAAAGGGTTTAGGGTTTATGTCGCCGAGGACGCACAGTTCGCAGCTTAAATGGCAACCCTTTCCCTGAACGTCCCTGAACCCCAAACCGCATACGGAAAAAAATGAGTCTTTTCACATGACACCCTGGTGACACCCTTAGACTACAGAGTCAGCCGGAAAAGAATAGGTCTCGCCCTTGCCGCAACGTGCCAGGCATGTGACATGATCTTCGTTTTCTTGAGGTTGAGGGGCAGGCCGAGTTCTGCCAGACTCTGCACCAATTGCGGGAGCAAAACGAATCGCCTGGTGCCAATTCCGCAAACTGAGAAGCAGGTCGTCCACGAAGGCACAACCAAACGTGCAAGGCTGGTCCCAAGAAGCCTCTTCAACAGCCAGACCCAGAACGTAGGCGAAGAGAATGGCAGAGTGGGTGCCGCCTTGCTGCACACCCCTTTGTGGGAGTAAGCTCCAGGATTCTCCCTTCCACTGGAAGTGGAGACCCGGGCAGGTGACAGTCGTAGTAGCTGCAAGGCCAATAGCCTGCATGCTGCATAATCTGAGCCTGTTATCCTTTTCTATACCTATGTAGCCCCAAGTTCGCCCTTGGTTAGAGAGTCCCTCCGATTGAGTCCCAAAAAACCCAAACCTGAAACACCTAAAGCCTTAAACCACCTACGCCCCTAAACAAGCCATAAATGAGTCCGTCAGCCCTATCAACCTTAACCCAAAAACCCTTAGCCCAAGCCCTCGGCCCTCGGTTACGCACGCAGCACGAGCCAGACCTCGTAGAGGATCCAAAAGTAGAACCCGCAAATAGTACCCCATACTACAACTGTGTCATTCTTAGGAACGGATCCACCCTTAACCCTAAATCGTAAACCCTAAACCCTAAACCCTAAACCCTAAAGTCTGGGTAGCCAGCCTTCGCTGCAAACAGTGTTCGATGCTGGCGTGGCCGTCGATGCGGCCTTTCTGGGAATCGCCAGGGCTTAGGGCTCAAAGTCGACAGGGTTTAGGGTTTAGGGTTTAGGGTTTAGGGTTTAGGGTTTAGGGTTTAGGGTTTAGGGCTTAGGGTTTAGGGTTTGGGGCTACTACAAGGGTTCAGTTTCGGTAACAAGGACTCTGGGGGGTACCCTAGCCCCACGGCAGTCATGGAAGACATGGGGTCCATGTCTTGGTCGTGAAATCGCAAACCTCAGGGTTTAGGGTTTGGGTGTAGGGTTGCGATGCTCCCCCTAACATGAAGAGTCCTTCATTGTGACGATAGTACCCCCTATTATAATCCCTACTAAGGACTGTTCGTAGAAGGGGGACATCCCAAGTTTACAAGTTTAGGGATTCAGCTTAGTAAAAATTGCAAACGAATCCGGGCAAGACGAAAACCCTCTACCCAGACTGCACATCCAAAAGCCTGAAACCCTAATGAAGCCCAACGAGCCCTAGGCATAAAACCCCAAATCCTGGAACCCTCAACCTTTGCGTACAAATGGATCTTCTTCTGCCCCCCTCCCTACTACCTACTTAAACTAGACCCAAGAGTAACCTAGAGCTTATAAGGAAACCTCAACCCCGAAAAAGGGAATACTGGGTCCTAGTAAACAGGCCGAACAGCTCTCAATTAAACCTTATCTCACTTGGGGTTCGGGGAGTTGTGTGGCGGCTGTTAGCAACCGCCGGCAGTGGCCGCCAGAGTTTTGAAACCCATCGCTGCAGCGAACCCAAAGCTCTACGACTCTGCGACCCTGAACCTTTACCCAGGGGGCTTAGGACTTACGGGATTTAGGGCTTTGGGATTTCGCCGTTTCTCGTTTTAGGCGGTTTTTCCCTCTTGTTTTTGAGTGCTTTACGGCCTACAAAAGGTTTAAGGGTTTGTAAAGGATGTGATAGGCCCTGAGTTGTAAGGTTCGTTTCGGGGTGTAAAGGGCTCTTTGCTAAGAAGAGCAGGGAGTGGTGACTCCCAAAACCCTACAATATGGTAGGTCATTTCAGCACCCCACGCCCCCCCCCCCCCCCCCCCATATGCCGGACATAACCCACAACAGCGTAGCACATAGAACCCTAAACCCTAAACCCTAAACCCTAAACCCTAAACCCTAAGCCCTAAACCCTAAACCTTAAACCCAGCAAGAAGGAGCTTTTCTTCGGGGTCTGCTTTCCGCCTCCGATCCTGCCGGGGTGGATGTGGCCTGAGCTCTCGGCTTCGGGTTCAGCACTTAGGGTTTAAGTTTAGGGTTTAGGGTTTAGGGTTTAGGGTTTAGGGTTTAGGGTTTTAGGGTTTTAGGGTTTAGGGTTTAGGGTTTAGGGTTTAGCAGTTAGGGTTTAGGGTTTAGGGGTAGTTACATGGTCCCTTAATTAGTGTGGGCCCTTAGAAGGGGACCCCCTTATACCCTGTACAAATTGAGGGCCCATACATCAGAACACTTCAAAGGGATTAGGGTTTAGGGTTTAGGGTTTAAGCTTTAGTTTCGGACCATTCTAAGAACCCACGATGCTTCCCTCAGATGACCCCAACGCCCTATACAAACTAGTAGGTTCTAACTGCCCAAGTATGGGGCATACCCCTGAACATTGCCGGAAAAATAGCCCCAGGCAGGGTTTAGGGCTTAGGGCTGTGGAGTTGGGTTGAGGACTCATGTGGTCTAGGGTCCCCGTACTACACATGAACCCGAACCTTGATCCCAAATTAAGGTTTAGGGTTTAGGGTTTAGGGTTTAGGGTTTAGGGTTTAGGGTTTAGGGTCACTAGAATTCAGCCCTACAAAAACCTAGAAGCCTCAATTATGTGGGGCCTTTGGGATTCAGTCGTTGCTGTGGCTCGCAAAAGCCCTTGACCCAAGGCCTCTGGGACAAAGACCCAGAACCTTAACCCTACCGCCTCAAAACAGTGCAGTGTACCAATTTTGACATGTGGGTCAAAATAGAGGTACCCCGAACATACACAAAACATACTATCATCCTTGCTAGGATGGGAGTAGTGCAGGGCTGGCAAGGCGCACGCATGTGGTACTGGGACCCGCCCTGACTTCAGTAGCTGCGAGAATTGCAGCGTGGCAAACTTTAACCTTTCAGAGCTCGACGATGGCGGGAGTGAGATCAAGTGCAAGCATCTGCTCGGGTTGCCTTAAAAGGTGATCTCCCGATTGTCTGGGCGCATGTTGAGTTTCTAGGGTTTGGTGGACTAGGGGTTTGGGGGGTTAGGGGGTTAGGGTCTTGAGGGGGTTAGGGCTAAACCCTAAACCCAAAACCCAAAACCCAAAACCGGTTTGGCCTGGCGAATCCCATACACCGGATGCCAGGGCACTTCATCGTTCACGGCCAAGTCCAATCCTTTCCCCGCCTGGCCGACAGAGATCCTACACCCACCCAAAACCTCAACCCCCCCAAAAAACCCAACCCCCCCAAAAAAAATAAAAAAACAAAAAATAACAAAAACACAAAAAATGGGTTGGCCCTCGTATGCCGCTGAAAAGGGTTCAGGCTACAGGGGCTAGTGGGTTTTAGGGTTTAGGGGCTTACGGCCTTAGGGCTTAATCCCATAGAAACGCAGGTTGGTCCGCCTTGAAACTCCAGTCGTGCCGGAGGCATTCTTGCGTTGACAACTGGTCAGTCCTCAACCCTACAAACCCTAAGCCCTAAACCCTGAAGCCTAAACGATATGAGGATTCTCCAAACCCTAAACCCCAAACCCTCATCCCTGAATCCTGAGACCCCCAGAACCCCTGAAGCCCTGCAATCTTCCGAGAGCCCCTAGAGAGCTTTGGGCTTCGGAGTTCGTTCGAATAGCGCGTTTTCCGTATGTTCTCGTTGCGGACAGAAGATGTATGAAGCACAGTCTTCATCTAACCCTAAACCCTGAAGCCTGAAGCCTGAAGCCTGAACCCTAAACCCTCAACCCTCAACCCTAAACCCTGAACCCTAAAACCTAAACCCTGAACCCTAAACCCTAAGCCCTAGTCAGCCCGCAGAGCTTCAGCGGCATTTGGGCTTTGGGGCGTGGGGCGGGGCTAGCAAACCTGAGCTACCAACTGGCCCATCTTCAAGCTACATTACAAATTTAGGGTTTATATATAGGGTCTAAATTAGGGTTTTGGGGGGCTTACGATATTGGGGTACCTTGTCGGAGTCCTTACTATAAGGGGATCCTAGTATTTGAGGGTCTAGATGAGGGGGTCCTTTATTCTCGCAAACCCCACTTTGGACCTAAAAGGCCAGAACGACAATGTCTACAATGTCTGCAACATCTACCCAGCTCCATCCCTCCTACTGCACTGGACGGCTAAGGACATGTTGCTTCAGAGCACTTCAGGGACTTGGGCGTTGCGAGGATGATCTTCCCTAGACCCTAAACCCTAAACCCTAAACCCTAAACTACCCTAAGACCTACTTCTTTTGCAAAAGGCCTTCTCAGGTCCCGGAAGTCAACGCTTCCAACCTTGCTGGGCCTTGAGCGACACATGTACTGCTGAATCCGGAAGACGTATCCGACGTAGCTTCGCATCTGCATCAAGCCACGGCTACGTGCAAACTTCTGCATCGCTTCCAGCACTTCGCTCCGTGACGCCGCCTCGTGAATCAAGAAGCCGTGCTTGCACAGTTTTTTGCGGACTTGGGTGTCACTTGGGGCAACGCGCCATCGGCCACCAGTATCATGGGCCAAAAAAGCATGGTGCAGCTTCTCCACCACGTCCGACACAGCGTCGGCAGCTGTAGGCAGAGCCTCGCATCTTTTCAGTGCCTTGTAGTTTTCCTTGGTAGCCCAGAAGCTATAAACAAGGGCACCCTTGCTTGGGGTTGGTAACTTATCAGGGAATGGCTAAGGGAATGTTGAACCAAAAAAAGGAAACGGGCACCAGTGGGCTGCCAAGTTTCTGGAAGGTTCACAAAAGCAAGCAATGCCTCAGCCAAGTCGCAGCTCAAGTGGCCATCCAAATATCCCAATCTGCGCAAAGCTTGTTCCACCATGTCTCTCGATGCCTCTTGGTACCCCAGTAACCATCTTTTCATAAGGTCACCCGTTTTTTGGTTGGTTACTTTCTAAGGGAACCTTAAACCAAAAAAAGGAAAAGGGTACAGTACCACCACCAAGGCCTTGATGGTGAAGGGGCCTCCACCCTCGAAAACTGCCATTGCATGCGTGGTGCCATACTCCTTAACGTTGTGCATGGTCTTGGTTGGAGCCTTTGTGATGGGGAGGAAAAATGCCAGGTCGCGGCTGTACCGAGTCCATGATGCTTCAGGGCCTGCAGCTTGAATTTCCTTGTGCATTGACGCACATCCTAGCCCAGCTGGGTAGACAGTCAGTGGCCCCAGTCGGTGTGCGACCCAAAACTTTGCGATGGCCTGCACAAGGAATCCGCGCTCCCCATGATAGCCCAGGTCCTGCAAGAACTGCGTGAGCTGCTCAGCCTCCGCGTCTCCCATCGGGCATTGCCAGGGCTCTGCCATCTCGACGCTCCCACTTCCGTCCGGGTGTAGAATGGCTCTTACCCTGGGACCCTCCTTGCTCAAGCTCTGGGATTGTATGGGCACCACAGCAGCACTGGTTGTTCTGTACTTTCGAACAACATTTCCGCTCGTCTCTGGGATGAAGACGGTCATGTCTCTTGAAGCAGCGACATCCCCAACAATGTCCACAAAGCCAGCGTCAGCCGTCAGCAGGGCTACACACAGATCATCTGGTAACCTATACTCCCCTTAGAACCTTAATAGAAATAAAATCTTCAATACCCCCTTGGGTTTTACATAAACAAAAATGAAAAATAATTCCCAAAGGGGGATATAGTAACTGGGACAAGCGCACCAGTCGAGCTTCGATGGCAACATCAGTGGCCTCTTGACCTCTGCGACGGGGCACGGGACAAAACGTAATGAGCCGCTCTCGAAAGAAAGCTCGCCACCGCTTGCTGTCCACTCTTCTTGGCTCTGCAAAAACCTGAGCTGTGCTTCAAACCCTCTGAAAATTATTTAGGAATAGGTTCCCTTATAAGTTAAATTCTTTGAAAGTTAATTCCCTTATAAGGAAAGAAGTGGAAAAACCATTCCCAAGCACAACCCAGAAACAGTAGTCACCACGCTGCGGCCTTGCCCCTTCAGTCGCTCAATCGCCTTCTCAATGAGATCAATACTGCCCTGATCGCCATCCACGAGAAGCTCTGCCCTAGCCTTTGCCTATATTCTGATCTTGGAAACCTAGGAAAAACATTAATTTTAGCTGTTTCCTAGGAAGCATAGTACCCGAAAAAAATAGAAATATACAAAAAATATAGCTGTTTTCTAGGAAGTATGGTACCAAAAAAAACATCCCCAAAATTGGAACTTTAGCTGCTTCCTAGGTACTAAAAAAATGCCATTTTAGCTGTTTCCCAGGAAGTATATAGTACCACCCAAAAATTAAAAAGAACAAAAACGATTTTCCCGAACATCCCCAAGCTGCACCCAAACGCACACGGCCACGTCTCAAGCGTGATGGGCCTCTACAGGCCGGTCGGTGGACCTCAATGCAACGCATCGGAAGTCTTTGAGCGGTTTATGGCTTAGGGTTTAGGGTTTAGGATTTAGGGTTTAGGGTTCAGGGTTTACGGTTTGGGGTTTGGGGTTTAGGGTTTAGGGTTTGCAAATCTTGTACAGTGCCACCTGAAAGCTTTCAAAGCAGCGAGACTCTTTTCTGTTCTACAACTAGGCAAGATACGTAGCTCCATCGGGATCAGATGTGAAAGCCTTTTTGTTTTGCCACACCCTAAACCCTAAACCCTAAACCCTAAACCCTAAACCCTAAACCCTAAACCCTAAACCCTAAACCCTAAACCCTAGACCCTAGACCCTAAACCCTAAACCCTAAACCCCAAGCCCTAAACCCTAAACCCTAAACCCTAAACCCTAAACCCTAAACCCTGCCCAAGCGGCTTGCCAGCAGACCACGGCGACAGAGGCCAGGCAGGCCACTGCGACCGGCTCCTGGAGGTACCCTATAAAACCCCTATAAAACCCCTATAAAACCCCTGTAAACCCTATGAAACCCGATAAAGCCCCTATAAAAAGCTATAAAACCTTATAAAACCCCTATAAAACCCCTATAAAACCCCTATAAAACCCCTATAAAACCCTATAAAAAGCTATAAAACCCTATAACACCCTATGAAACCCCTATAAATCCTGGAGACGTGCCGAGACCTCCGGCTGACGAACGCGGGGGCGGAGCCCGAAGCTCTGAGCCACTGGCAGGACACCTTAGTTGCTGAGTTCATAAGCCCCCCAAAAAAGTGCAACACTTTCATTCCTGTAGGGGATGATAAGGGTTTAGGGTTTAGGGTTCAGGGCTAGGGTTTAGGGTTTAGGAACCCAAAAAGTGTAAAGTGTGCTCACTCAGCTACTAAGACACTGGGTGAGCTGCGCACGCAGGGGCTCAGCATCCCGATGAGCTAATTGCGAGGGCTGAGATGGAAGCAGTCTTGCGCGCATGTTCGGGGTTTAGGGTTTAGGGTTTAGGGTTTAGGGTTTAGGGTTTAGGAACCGCTCAGCATGCTGGCCCGAGGGGACATTGATTCATTGACTGTTACTAGTTCTCAACAGGGACGTAGGGAATAGGCGCCATATTTCGCCGTATCCAACCCTGTAAGGGATTATTTAGAGTATCTCTTTGCTTATACCCCTTTAAAACCCTAAACCCTAAACCCCAAACCCTAAACCCTAAACCCTAAACAATTGCATAGGGCCGCTGGTTTCCTGATTCCGGAACGGCAGGCTGATGTCAAGCAACTCAGGGTCTGTCTCAGACGATTCACCGTGCGACCTTCAGCCTTAGGCTTTCGGGTTTGGGGTTTGGGGTTTGGGGTTTAGGGTGAAGGGTTTAGGGTTTGGGTTTTAGGGATTTGGGGGGGGGGGGGGGGCTCAGAACAAGCCCTGGAGACATTCGCAGCGCGGTGCACAAGCGAGAGCTTTCGCTCAGCTCGTGGCCCTCAGCCCCGAAAGCCTGAACACTAAACCCTCAGCCCTACACCCCAAGACCTACGACCCCACAGGCTGGAGCCTCATTAGCTTTATTACTAACCCTAAGGGTCCATGCACCTAATAGAGAACACTTGGGGCTTAAAGTACCTTCTATGTACAGGGACTTTTGGCCCAAGTATATGAGTATGAGGTACATGGACCCTCAGGGTAAGATGGCGGTTTGCATGTCCCTGAGTTACTACACAGAGTACATCAAGGGATTAACTTGTCTACTCGGATGTAACCCTAAACCCTGAACCGTAAGCCCGAAACCCGAAAGCCTAAACCCTAAACCCTATAGAGCCCAAAACCCCACTTCAGGACCCCTACAACTAGGGGGGACCCTTCTTGGACCGAATCTGTCTGACTACACCTTCGGGGGCCCCGGGGGGCATGCCTCCTTCTCGGTGATAATTGGCGGTGGTGCCGGGTCTTCCGACCTGACGCTAAGCCCCCAAACCCCTAAACCCCTAAACCCCTGAACCCAAAAGCCCTAAGCCCCTACCTTAACCCCACAACCAACCCAAGCCCTAAACCCTAATCCCTAAGCTACACCTCTCAACTCCTAAGCCCCAAACTCCCAATCCCTTAAGCCTCTTAAGCATATCTGGGTCTCAGGTTTTGGGTTTAGCAAAGGGCTGCAGGCTTTTCGGGGGGCCTTAGAGTCCAATGTATAGGCTATAGGCTTTCGGGTTTAGGGAGATGTGTAGGGCTTTCGGGCTTGGCACGTAGGGCATGAAGGACTTTCGGGCAGGGTTCTGGCCTTCACATTTCGACGAAACCCGTGGCGATCAGGACATCTTGGGAGACCGAAAAAACGAAACAGCCTGATCGATAGGGGCATCTTTCATGTTGATGGGTCTTCAGCGGCACACGGGTTGACCAATGGGCCTTCAGGGTTTCGAAGATATCCTTGCCCAGAAAGCCGGTGCACGATTTCACGCGTCCCCTCAGAATCGGTCGCGTAGAGAGGTCAATGGCTCAGCTCAAGTCACCCCCGGCTCCTGGGTGCCGTTTCTGGTCGAACCTCTCTTAACAGGATTAGAAGCAAACCCTCCGAACCCTAAACCCTAAACCCTAAACCCTAAACCCTAAACCCTAAACCCTAAACCCTAAACCCTGAACCCTAAACCCTAAACCACAAGTTAGACCCTCATGAACCCCTAACCCCTAGGAAGCCAGGCTTCGGAAGGCACCGGTAAGCTGCGTGGATTGTTGCGGGGTGGCTGTGTCATGGTGGGTTCAGGGTTCAGGGTTCAGGGTTCAGGGTTCAGGGTTCAGGGTTTAGAGTTTAGGGTTTAGGGTTTAGGGTTTGGGGGGTGCCTTTAGACCCTAAACCCTACAGTCCTTATCATAAGGGAACTATACTCTTTGGGGGTTTACATGAGGGGTCCCTACAGTCAACCCGAATATAGGGGCCTGAATACTTAGAATAGGGTGTTGGGGGCGATTATAGTAGAATTACAAAGGGACCATAAGGGAATGGTATTAGTAAGTATTCCTAAACCCTAAACCCTAAACCCTAAACCTTAAACCCTAAACCCTAAACCTTATATCTCTAGACCCCGTCTGAACGTCGTCGTCATGGCCTTCCCAGCCCTTCCTAGCTAAGCAACCTGCGGAAGGCCCAGCCCGGCCAGCCCTCTCCCCCCCCAAGCCGGCCGTGTAGGGTTTAGGGTTTAGGGTTTAGGGTTTAGGGTGTAGGGTGTAGGGTTTAGGGTTTAGGGTTTAGGGTTTAGGGTTTAGGGTTTAGGGTTTAGGGTTTGGGGTTTGGGGTTTAGGGTTTAGGGTTTAGGGTTTAGGGTTTAGGGTTTAGGGTTTAGGTTTTAGGGTTTAGGGTTTAGGGTTTAGGGTTTAGGGGTTAGGGGTTAGGGGTTAGGGGTTAGGGGTTAGGGGTTAGGGGTTAGGGGTTAGGGTTGCCAAAAACCCTGAAACCTTGTACCCTAAACCCTCCCTCCCTTTCGTGCAGGTGAGCAGCTGAAGCTTCCTTGGGGTTGGGCTTGCCAAAAGGACGGGCCGGTTTAGGGTTTAGGGTTTAGGGCTTAGGGCTTAGGGTTTAGGGTTGTCATAGGGACTAGTACCAAGGGATGTTCAGTCACTACTCCTGTATCCTCTATTATTGATTACAGGGTTCATAGGGCTTGCAGGGCTTAGACCTTAAGACACATAGTGTGCCTGAGCGATCTGAAAGGCTTCATCTTTGGTACCGTTTCATTCATCAGAAATTAATTCATTTGCATTTGGGCTATTAATATTCATAGGCCTTTCATGCCTGTCTGTTTCATGCTCGAGGGCGACGTGAGAACAGAATGACACCTCTTTTACCGTACATATTGGTCGTGCGGTAAAACCAGCCCAGTGACCATGTTGTAATAAGGGCACCCTTTATCAGGGAACCCATAACAAAAAAAGGGTAAAGGGTACCACTGGGCAAACCAAGCTTATAAATAGAGCGAATGCACGTCCTGGAGCTCCAGTAAGTGCCCCCAGTAAAGAGACAGAAATTATTAGGGCATTTAGTGGGTAGCCTAAACCGGGGCCCGAATCATTTCTGCGCTCCCAACCCTTAAGTGCTTGTTTGGCGAGTCGGAAGGTTTCAGAAGGGTTGAGGAGGTTTCGGGTTCAGGATTCCAGGAGGCCAGGGGCAATCTCCCCCAGCCCTAAACCGCCTCTGTTAATGCTTGCGTTAAAACAAGGACGCCCTTCTATGTTATTAGGAAAGGTGTGAATCTAATTCCTAAGCTCCGCAAATCACATAGCACCTCCGCCCTAAACCCTAAACCCTAAACCCTAAACCCTAAACCCTAAACCCTAAACCCTAAACCCTAAACCCTAAACCCTAAACCCTAAACCGTTGACCCTAAACCCTAAACCCTAAACCCTAAACCCTAAACCCTAAACCCTAAACCCTAAACCCTAAACCCTAAACCCTAAACCCTAAACCCTAAACCCTATCCCCGAAATTGGCGAGTGGCCGCTCTTTTTTGGAACTTCGGGTAAGCGCCGCCGGAGAGATGAGACCTCGAGACGTGCTTGAAGGTGCATGGGTGGTTCTAAGTAGGGCTTGGAGTTTAGGGGTTTGGGGTTTGGGGTTGAGGGTTTAGGGTTTGGGGTTTAGGGTTTCGGGTTTAGGGTTTAGGGTTTGAGGGTTTAGGGTTTGAGGGTTTAGGGTTTAGAGTTTAGGGCTGAGGCTTCTAAGTACCCTAAATAGGGTTAGAGATGTAGCTACCTTCTTTTAACCCTACTTCTAACTATCCATGAGCCTCCAAGTGGTCTGATGGAGCTTGGCGGTTTCTGGGCTTACGAGGGCACAGAGGGCTAAAGGGGTTCAGGGTTTAAGGTTCAGGGTTAGGGGTTCCTAGGGGGTTCAGGGTTTAGGGTTTTGGGGTTTCGGGTGTGGGGTTTCGAGGGCTCACAGGATCTAAGGCAAACCCTGAACCTAAACCGTTATAGGGTGAGGTTCTGACGAGGCTCAGGGTTAGGGCACGAAGACAATGGCCACTTCAACAACATCGCAAACAGCCTGGGTCCCCAAGTCCCATCACCTGAGGCCTTGGAGTAGGGCTTACGGTCTAGACCTAAACCCGGCGTGCGCTGAAAGAAGTACATGACCGACTTGCAGAGTGTTACCCTTTTCCCCACCCCCCACCTGCAACGCTATTTGTCCAGCTCGGTAGTAATGGGTACAACCCTTTCCAACTGTAGGTCTATAGAGCCACAAGTAGATGCTAAACCCAAATCGAAGCTGCAGCTAAGCAGCAACATATGCCTAAACTCAAAGTTCTAAACCCTCAAACTCTAACTTCAGGAAGGTTCGGTCTTGGGCTCAGAACACGTGAATGAACAGTCCAGTCGGGGTTTAGGGGTTTGGGGTTTCTGGGTTTAGGGCTCATCGCCTTTAAGGGTTTACGGTTAAGGGTTTTGGGGAGGACCGTCCACAGCCCTAAGAATCCCTGGCCTTTAAAACCGCCAAATCCCGAAATTCCTAGGTCTGCGATGCACAAAACCCTAAACCCTAAAACCTGAACCCTTACAAACCCAAAACCCTGGAACATCCGATGGGCCCTAAACCCCCACCCCCTCCCCCTGGGGTGCCGGACAATGGTCGGAAGCGAAGAGCTTCTCCGACTTTGCCGGCGAGTTCTCCTGTGTGGTGACTTCCGAAAGGGTCTAGGGTTTAGGGTTTAGGGCTTAGGGTTTAGGGTTTGGGGTTTGGGGTTTTGGGGTTTTGGGGTTTTGGGGTTTGGGGTTTGGGGTTCGGGGTTTGGGGTTTGGGGTTTGGGGTTTGGGTACCTTCTTGGGGCCCTTACTATGAGGGAATCCTACTATTACTATTTGGGGGGTCTATTTCAGGGGGCACCTATCTTTCGTAAACCCCCATGTCTCTTTAAGGTCGTCCGGTTTCAGCACTCAGGGCTTTCGGGGTGATGCCTAACCCTAGACCCTAAACCCTAAACACTAAACCCTAAATCCTAAACCCTTAACCCTCAACCCTAAACCCTAAACCCTAAACCCCAAGCACTAGACCCTAATTCCTAAACCCTAAACCCTTAACCCTCAACCCTAAACTAAGCACTAAACCCTAAATCCGGCACCCTAAACCTTGGATTCCAGGGTCCTCGGACTGAGAGCTAGCTACGACTCGCGGGGTTCAGGGTTTAGGGTTTAGGGTTTAGCGTTTAGGGTTTAGGGTTTAGGGTTGTTCACTGTAGGTTTTCAGGGCAGGACATCGGCTTGATCAAAGAACATCTAAGGACAAAGAAGGTTAAATAAAGGTGTCTGAGGTATCCAGTCAGGGGTTTTTGGGGGAGGGGGGCCGGTAACTACTTCTGTTTCATCTTGGAGAGGTATTTTGGCTCAAGATACGTTCCCCGAATATATGGCACAACGTGCTGTGTTGAACGGTCGGGGTCCCCGAGTCCAGAAACAAGTACAAGCGTTCTTAGCACAGATAGTACAGGAAGCAAGAAAACACCAATATGACCTCCTTGAAAGCCCTCCCTAATATGCATAGTGCAAACTACCCCAAATCCGTTCATCACAATGCCCATTCCAACTGAACAGCCTGAAGTCCAAAACCCTAAGCCTCAAAGGAACCCCAAACCCTAAGCCTAAGCCCTAAACTCCAAAAGAACCCAAAACCCTAAACCCTGAACCCTAAACCCTAAACCCAAAACCCAAAACCCTAAACCCTAAACCCTAAACCGCTTTGCAGGTCAGTCCTTGCTCTCCTTGCCACTCTCGGCGGGCGCATCCTCGCGCGTGGGTAGGGGGCTCGGCACCTGCTGCACGGTCGACTTTGGGAATCGTGGCTTTTAGTCCCTAACTTTGGTTTAGGGTTTAGGGTTTAGGGTTTAGGGTTTAGGGTTTAGGGTTTAGGGTTTAGGGTTTAGGGTTTAGGGTTTAGGGTTTAGGGTTTAGGGTTTAGGGTTTAGGGTTTAGGGTTTAACTCGTTGTATGAGGGGGTGCTTTGGCAGTCTAGGCGAGTCTAGGCGAAACTCCTCCCTCCCCCCCCCCCCCCCCCCCCCTCCCACAACTCCCAAACTCCCCCTGAACCACAAAGACCCAATCCCAAAGCAAACCCAACCCTAAGCCCTCAACCCTCAACCCTCAACCTTGAACCCAAACCCTAATGCTAACACCCGAACCCTAAACCTCACCCGAACCCCAAACCTGAAACCGAAACCCTTAGGGCCTTGGGCCCCAACCCCTAAACCCTAAACCCTAAACCCTAAACCCTAAACCCTAAACCCTAATCCTAAGGGCTCCTGAAGTCCGGAACCCTGAGCACTAAATCGGGTGCTCTTTCTTGTTTAAGGAGTTGCATAGGGTTTAGGGTTTAGGGTTTAGGGTTTAGGGTTTAGGGTTTAGGGTTTAGGGTTTGCAATAAGGGAATGAGGGCTACTTGAGGGTTCATGGGGAGTTATAACTAGGGCTGTAAAGTACCTTAAATAGGGTTAGAATACACAGACTACCCTGCTTCTAACCCTACTTTATGTCTTTAAGTACCCATTGACCTCCAAGTAGCCCTACACCCTAAACCCTAAACCCGAAACCCTCAACCCGGAACCCTAAACCCTAAACCCTAGACCCGACTTATATCTACCCATGAACCTCCCAAGTACTGGGCATCACCTCGCGGCGTGGCTGGTGGCTCTGAGCTGGGCGGGCACCAGCTGAGGCGATGCCTAGCTTGGTCTAGGGTTTAGGGTTTGGGGTTTAGGGTTTAGGGTTTATGGTTTAGGGTTTAGGGTTCAGGGTTCAGGGCTTAGGGTTTAGGGATAGGGTTTAGGGTACCGCATGGCACGCACCCATGATTCTAGGCACACGGCCCTAGGACAGGAGGGCATGAAGGTGGGAAGTATCAGTAGCTCAGGGATTTTGGGGGGGTTCACATCCGTAAGCCCCAAGACCCGAAACCGACAGAACCCTAATTCTTACACCGTACCGATCTCGTCCAAGGACAATTTTGCATCTTCTTACCCCCCTCCTCGGCCCGCACCAAACCCTGGTGCTCGGGGCACAAGCTCTGACCGCACTCCGCGAGCTGCGAAACCCTCAGGCCCCTAAACCCTAAACCCTAAACCCTGAACCCTATAAACCCTCAACGCAGTTCCGGGCTCGAATCAGAGCCGCACGCAGGCAAGCACTGGCTACATACTGACCTGGAGTTCCCTTTGGCACGAGTCCTCACCGCACACCAATGCTGGGCACGAGCGAAGACTGCGCACTTCCAAGAACCGGAGCGGGCTGATTAATTATTAGGCACATCTTGTGCCCTTGAGATCCTTGAGTGCCATGGCAAAAAGCATCGAACTGTACATGTTGGAAATGCCTCCAAAGCTCTTTCCATGAGCCTCTCGTGCTCAGTCAAAGGAGGACGGTGGCCAGATACTTCTTCTTCCGTTGCCGCTGCCGGTGACTTCTGCGCCTTGGCATCGCACTCGACGATGAGGCAACATTTGCAGGGTCCACAGCATGTTCGTGAGGAGACTCGCTTTCCAGCAGGTCGTCCATGGCTGGCACTAAAGGTTTGAAGGCAAATCCGGTCAAGTTGTGCTTGACCTCAGGCGTAAGATGAGTCCAAAGCAGTTCCGGACTGCTGTCCGCTGGCCACTGCGCTTTGCTCAACATCCAGCCGTGCTTCTGACCGCTCCAGTTTTCGGGCGGCCCGCGCATGTGCAAGCGATATGCCTTGACCGATGCCTCATTCGCCCAAGCATCCACTGCAAATACTACCTGCGATTCAGAGCAGTGCTTCACGGAGAGGAGCTCTATGGTATCTGGCAGCCCAGGGTACGCCTTCTTCAGGAGATTGCCGGTCTGAGCGTCCAGGCACACAACGGCACCCTTGTAGAAGTCTCTTCCGCTACCATCCTCTCTCTCCCACCACCGCCCATCAAGTCGACAGGCAATCAGCACATGGTGCCCGGTAGATGAGACCGACAGCTGCATCGAACGAGCCACAAAGTCCGGAATTGGCTTGGACCGCCAAACGACCAAGCCGGACTCGATCCCGATGCAGGTGACAGTGCACATGTCATCATCGTCAGCTTCTGCGCCCATGGACCCTGGGAAGTCATCATGCTCTTCAGTGGAATGACCCCAGGCAGCACAAACCAGGAATCGACCACCAGGTGTGAACTGAAGCTTGCTTGCACAGGAGAACTGCGACAGCTTCTGCCCGGGCATCGGGCAACGCCAAATGATGGCGCCAGACTCTGTGGCAAGGCATGTTACATCTTGTCGATTAAGCCAGGACTCAGACTCGAAACAGAAAGCGAGGTAAACGGAATGAGGTGAATGAGCCAAAGCAACGACCTTGCGGTCATGAGGTTGTGACCACCTTACTTCTACCAGAGAGCCATTCGCATAGGATTCCAGGTAGACCAGATAATCATTACCAGGAGGGGTCTCCTGACCGTCCATTCCAAAGAACCTCTCCCTGTTGCATGCGACAGCAAAACAATCCCCATCTGGGGCCAAACCCAACGCTTCAACATGCACGATGCTGCGGTTGCGCAGCGCATGGGCAGGCCAGCTCCAGATTTTCTCCGAGGTCTGGATGTCCAAGCAGATCACCTGGCCATGAGTTGCGAGCTGGCGCGCCTTACACTCGCCGCCAGAGATCCCAAGGAAGGCATACCTGCCCTCAGTGGAGAAGACGATCGCATTCACTCCATAGTCGAACCCCATTCCCACCCGAAGGGGAAGCCATTCCCGTACGTGCTTGCTCCAGGCTGACGAATCACTCGTGACCAGCCTGACATGCCCATCGCCAGACCCCACAAGAGCCGTGTCCTCGGACAGAAGCGCCTGCTGCACTGGAGATCCATCAACGGTAGGCTGCTTTTTCTTTGGCAGCAGCTTGAAGTGGAGAACTTCGTCAGAACTCCTGCGATAGCAGCTTGAATCATCCCAATCCCCCCACACTTCCGGGAGCTGAGTCTGAAGTAAGTTCTTGTCTCTGTCGCTGAGTCGGAGACGTTCGGGGACATCCTCATCGCCTCCATAGGAGCTGCTGTCCCACACTCTCCAACCTTGGATGTTCGGCGTGGTGCGGAGAGGGCCTGAGTCGATCAAGGATCCATCGCGCACGCGTCTTCGTTCCACATTGCACTGGCTCGTCCCAACAATCTTGATCACAAGAGCTGCTGACTCATTCTCATCCACCCAAATGCCAAGCATGTCCTCTAGCGGTCTCGCGGTCGCCCCTTCCTGCTTTGCCTCGGCAGCTGGCACCTCACCTCAGTAGCTGGCTCTGGCGCTTTCGGGGTCTCTGCAGCCGGCTCTTCATGCTTTGCCTTGGCAGGAGTTGCAGGCGGGCTGCTCTCCTGCTTTGCTGGCTCTACGTGCGCCGCATGGTCAAGCCTGGCCGGTGAAGTTACATGGGGCGAAGGCGCCACCTGCGATTCCTGGTCGGGCTGGATGTTGCTGAGGGGAGGCAACAGTGCCTCATCACTTCGGCTCAGCAAAGCTGCGCCGTGCCTGAAGAAGGGGGCACAGCAGCTCCCTGGCGCCCACATCGGCACAGTGGAAGCGGAAGTGCCCTGAAGACTGAAACAGAGCGACCCACCTTAAACCAAAACCTCAAGGGCCCAAGGGCTTTTCACTCGTGCAACCACTTGGCACGGAGGCTGTGCTTCCAGACATGTGGGACGTAGCGCTGAGGGCTTAGAGTTCGGGGTTGAGTCGTTGCCATTTGCAGTTTTTGCAGCTGGCCTTCGGGAACTGGCCGCGAGCGAGCAGACAAACTCAAAGGGTCGCGAGCCGACGCGGTGCCTCACAGGTAATTTCAGCCGTTTGGAGTTTAGGGTGTGCGAATCGTTTACGGTTTAGAGTCTTTAGAATCTGCTCGGATTTCGGGCCCGTGGTGTAGGGGCTGGGTGCCATCTTCAACAACCTCAGGCAAGCTAGGCTCATGAACACCACAAACCACAAGGGCATCGAACAGAAAAAAAAAAAACAAAACTCAATCTTACCCCTTACCCCCTAGCCCCCTTTATACCCCCTTTCTACCCCCTTTATACCCCCTTGTACCCCCTTGTACCCCCTTGTACCCGCTTATACCCCCTTGTCATACCCCCTCATACCCCCCTCATACCCCCTCATACCCCCTTATGCCCCCTTATGCCCCCTTATGCACCCCTTATACCCCCTTATACCCCCTTATACCCCTTTTACCCCCTTATACCTCCTTATACCCCCTTATACCCCTTTTACCCCCTTTTACCCCCTTTTACTCCCTTTTACCCCTTTTACACCCTTCTACCACCTTTTACACCCTTTTACATACCTCCCTTTTACACTCCGTTTACTACCCTTTTACACCCGTTTACCCACTTTTTTAACCTGCTTACGCCCTTTTTACCACCTTTTTACACCCTTGTTACCACCTTTTTGACCCCTTTTACACCCTTTTGCCCCCTTTTGCACCCTTTTATGCCCCTGTTATACACACTTTTTATACTCCCTTGTATACACCCTTTTATACTCCCCTTTTTTTGCAGCCTTTGATACACCCTTTTATACACCCGTTTATACCCTCTTTTATACCTTTTACCCACATTTTATGCCCCCTTTTGCACCACTTCACCTTTAACCCCCCTTTTACCACCCTTCTACACCCTTTTACCCTCTTTTACCCCCTTACCCCCAAACCCCCCCTTACCCCCATAGCCATCCTTAGCCTTCAGCCCTTGTAAGCCTTCAACACTGCCAAGCCCTAAACCCTAAACCCTAAACCCCAAACCCCAAACCCTAAACCCTAACAGCCGGCCTTCGGGAATCGGCCGCGCACGAGTAGACAAACTCAAAGGGTCGCGAGCCGACGAAACGCCTCCCAGGCCCAAAAGAATCAGAGAGGGTTTAGGATTTAGGGTTTCGGGTTTAGGGTGTAAGGTCACAACTCAGCGATTTTTGAGGTGAAAGTTCACCACTCAGGGTTCAGGGTTTAGGGGTTGAAGTTTATCACTCAGGGTGTAGGGTTTAGGTTTCAGAGTTGAGAGTTGCGCGTTTAAACGTGTAGGGTTTCTGGAGCTCAAGCTTTTCACCTCAAGATTCCGTGGAGTTAAGGCCTGGGCGTATGGGCTTCGGGCTTCAGACTTTGCATCTTCAACCACCGAGGGCCAAGGCTTTTCTGCCCCAAACCCAAACCCTAAATCCTGAAGTTTAGGGTTTGTTTAGGGTTTATAAGATGACTCAGGGTCGAAAGGCCTGAAGCCTGCGTTACACGCTACGTGGAGCCCGAACTCCTGCCATAATGATCCTGAAACCTAAACCCTAACCCTAAACTCCCCCTCCCACCGGCAGGCCTTCGGGGACCGGCCGCGAGCGAGCGGACAGATCGCGCGCCGCCGCAACGCCTCGCACAAGGGTTTAGGGTGTAGGGTTTATATAGGGTTTAGGGTGAGGGTTTCGGGATTGTTTAGATGCCTTACCTACCCCCACACAGAGTTTCGGATTATAACAGATTGTCAAGATACCCGTGAAGACGCCCCAAATACACCCACCTCAAATCCGGAACCCTAAAGAGTCCCCACCCTCGCTTCAGAAAATTCGGGCTCTGTACTCAGCGTTTCTCTCTGAAACTTTGGGTAGAGATGGGCGTAGGTTTCAGAGTTTACAGGGACTATAGCTATAGGGCTCAGGTTTAGGGACTTCTGCAAAGTGTAGTGCCCTAAGCCCT